TTCAAGGAGCCCATACACAACATAGAGGCTCGAAGCGTTCTGGCAGCAGTGAAGCACAGGGCCAGAGACAGCAGAAGACACGGGCGTAGGATCCTGGTTTTAAATGACAATCTCGGTGTTGTTCTCAGCATGCAGAAGGGTCGGGCAGCAAATTACGGCTTACTCAGAATCATTCGCAGAGTGTCAGCGCATCTTCTAGCCTCGGGCATTCGTTTGTCCTGCAGATGGTTGCCGTCGGAGTGGAATCTGGCAGACGAAGCGAGCCGTTTTTGGGAAGATGAGCGAAGGCGGGAGGAAGGGCAAGCGAAAAAAGACAAGAGTCGAGGTTTTCACCCGTGCAGCAGTGCACGACTCCAACCGGAGAATGAGGAGTCCTTCGGTGGAGAGGCTGGAGAGCAGACAAAGGAAGAGAAGCAGATCAAGATCGCAGCGCAGGGGCCCGGAGCAGGCCATGCCCCGGGATCATGGGCTGCGGATCATGATCCGAGGTGCTGCGAAGAAGAGAGAGAGGGCCAGAGCAAGGCAGAAGAAGCACTCGCAGAAGCTGAGAGCCAGTTTGGGCCTCCGATCCATCCTGGAGCAGAGCAGCGTGAAGGAGCCGCAGAGGAGGGACTATTGGAGGCGGCTTCAGAGTTTCTACGAGTTTGCGGCTCGTTTCGGACTCAATATCCAAAGCAAGCCAGAGCTGGATGCGGCTCTGTGCGACTTTGCAGACCACCTCTACCTGAATGGAGAAGGATGCGATGCAGGAAACAAGCTGAAAGCAGCGATCGAGTTCGATCGACCCGAGTACTTCAGAAGTTCGGAGCTCAGGTTGCCAAGGCTGAAGAGGGCTTTGAAAGGCTGGAGGAAGATGGCGCCCACACAGACCAGGCTGCCGATGATCGAGTTCATCAAGAGCTCGATAAGTGGCCTGATGATACACCAGGGATGGCGCATGATGGCGCTGTACAACGAATTGAGCTTTTCGACCTACTGTCGCCCTGGGGAACTCCTTCGAGCACATGCAGTGGATGTCGTCCCGCGAAACCGGGACTACCACCATCACGTTCTGGTGCTCTCGCCATTCGAAAGGGACGTGAGCAGCAAAGCAGGCGTGTTCGACGAAGTGCTGATCCTGGACGACACCCGCGTCCCTTGGCTGGGAGATCTTTTGGTCAAGGTGGCGAGGGACATCCAGTCGGCCATGGGGGAGGAGGCGTCTCTTTGGGACTTCAGTGCGGCGCAGTATCTCAAGGTGTGGAGGGCTTGCGTGGCATGCCTAGCGGCCGAAGCCATCGCCGAGTCGCCCTACCAGAACAGACATGGAGGAGCGTCACGGGACCATTTGTTGCAACTTCGATCGGTGGGTGCTATCCAGAGGAGAGGCCGATGGAGCGCGGATGCCAGCGCTCGCATCTACGACAAGCCTGGCCGCCTTCAACAGACGGTGAACAAGTTCAGCTCGGAGCTCGAACCGTTCGGGGAGGAGATCCGCCAGAACTTTGTGGACTTTTTCTCCGGGAAGAAAAGGATGCTGCTTCCAGCAAAGATCCGTGCCCGCATCCCGGCAAATTTCAAGACCAAAAGTTCCTGAGCCTCTTTGGTGGAGTTGGAAACCCTGCAAAGTTTTTTAGCCGATGCGGTGGTGAAGCCTGGGTTGTGGACCTTTGTGATAGTGCCTCAAATGATTTGGGCAGACCTTCCAAATGGAATGCAGTTCTCAAGTCCGTGCATGTTTTCGATTACATCGGAATTGATTTGCCTTGCAACACGTGGAGCAAAGCACGCAGAGCTCCGCCTTGGTCGCGTCTGCCGAAGCCTCTCCGCAGCGCTGATCGCATCTACGGGCTGCAATCTTTAAGCCCTGGGGATGGTCTTAAGGTCACTGCTGCTAACAACATGCTGGTCGGCGCTGTTCGCACCGTTCGCAAGTGCCTTAAGCTTGGTATCGTGGGCTATCTGGAGAATCCTCGTAACTCTTGGGTGTGGCAAACCCCGTTGATGCTGAGGCTTCTCAAACATCCACGTATTCAATTAGTCACTTGCCATCAGTGTCAATATGGTTGCCAGTGGAAGAAACCTACTTCGCTGCTGATCTGGAATTGTGCACCGGTTGCTTTCAAGCAATGCACAGGCAAAGTTTGCAGCCGCACACACAAAGCTCATTTGCAGCTCACCGGCATTTCTGGCAAGCGTTTTTTGACTGAGCTAGCTCAAGTTTACTCACCTTCGTTTTCCTCGCACTTGATGCTGACTCTCCATTCGAATTCCCGGCTCCCTCCCAGCCCATGAGCCATGCTGACGCTGGGTTTGGGGATTTTGATTTGGATGTGAAATCAGCTGAAGTTGTGACAGTGTTCCCAATCTTCAGCTGACCAGCCTTTTAGTGCTGGCGATGTATCTTTTGGTTGTGGCCGGAGCCCGCAACACACAGATTGAGGCGAACGTGTCGCCCTCAGTGCATCTAGGAAAAGGGTGAAGGCATATTAGTCGAAGACTGTTTTGCCGATCATCTTGAGTTTCTGGTGGCTTTTAAATCTCAAGATCTTCTCAGGGCCCACCGCGCCCGTCCCGGATTTTGATTTGGATGTGAAATCAGCTGAAGTTGTGACAGTGTTCCCAATCTTCAGCTGACCAGCCTTTTAGTGCTGGCGATGTATCTTTTGGTTGTGGCCGGAGCCCGCAACACACAGATTGAGGCGAACGTGTCGCCCTCAGTGCATCTAGGAAAAGGGTGAAGGCATATATGTATACATGTAATGTATGTATGTATGTATGTATGTATGTATGTATGTAATGTATGTATGTATGTATGTATGTATGTATGTATGTAATGTATGTATGTATGTAATGTAATGTAATGTAATGTAATGTAATGTAATGTAATGTAATGTATGTAATGTAATGTAATGTAATGTATGTATGTATATGTATGTATGTGTATGTATGTATGTATGTATGTATGTATGTATGTATGTATGTATGTATGTATGTATGTATGTATGTATGTATGTATGTATGTATGTATGTATGTATGTAATGTAATGTAATGTATGTATGTATGTAATGTATGTATGTATGTATGTATGTATGTATGTATGTATGTATGTATGTATGTATGTATGTAATGTATGTGTATGTATGTATGTATGTATGTATGTATGTATGTATGTAATGTATGTATGTATGTATGTATGTATGTATGTATGTATGTATGTATGTATGTATGTATGTATGTATGTATGTATGTATGTATGTATGTATGTATGTATGTATGTATGTATGTATGTATGTATGTAATGTAATGTAATGTAATGTATGTATGTATGTATGTAATGTATGTATGTATGTATGTATGTATGTATGTATGTAATGTATGTATGTATGTATGTAATGTATGTATGTATGTATGTATGTATGTATGTATGTATGTATGTATGTATGTATGTATGTATGTATGTATGTATGTATGTATGTATGTATGTATGTATGTATGTATGTATGTATGTATGTATGTATGTATGTATGTATGTATGTATGTATGTATGTATGTAATGTATGTATGTAATGTATGTATGTATGTATGTATGTATGTATGTATGTATGTATGTATGTATGTATGTATGTATGTATGTATGTATGTATGTATGTATGTATGTATGTATGTATGTATGTATGTATGTATGTATGTATGTATGTATGTATGTATGTATGTATGTAATGTATGTATGTATGTATGTAATGTATGTGCGTATGTATGTATGTATGTATGTATGTATGTATGTATGTATGTATGTATGTATGTATGTATGTATGTATGTATGTATGTATGTATGTATGTATGTATGTATGTATGTATGTATGTATGTATGTATGTATGTATGTATGTATGTATGTATGTATGTATGTATGTATGTATGTATGTATGTAATGTATGTATGTATGTATGTATGTATGTATGTATGTATGTATGTATGTATGTATGTATGTATGTATGTATGTATGTATGTATGTATGTATGTAATGTATGTATGTATGTATGTATGTATGTATGTAATGTATGTATGTATGTATGTATGTATGTATGTATGTATGTATGTATGTATGTATGTATGTATGTATGTATGTATGTAATGTATGTATGTATGTATGTATGTATGTATGTATGTATGTATGTATGTATGTATGTATGTATGTATGTATGTATGTATGTATGTATGTATGTATGTATGTATGTATGTATGTATGTATGTATGTATGTATGTATGTATGTATGTATGTATGTATGTATGTATGTATGTATGTATGTATGTATGTATGTATGTATGTATGTATGTATGTATGTATGTATGTATGTATGTATGTATGTATGTATGTATGTATGTATGTATGTATGTATGTATGTATGTATGTATGTATGTATGTATGTATGTATGTATGTATGTAATGTATGTATGTATGTATGTATGTATGTATGTATGTATGTATGTATGTATGTATGTATGTATGTATGTATGTATGTATGTATGTATGTATGTATGTATGTATGTATGTATGTATGTAATGTATGTATGTATGTATGTATGTATGTATGTATGTATGTATGTATGTATGTATGTAATGTATGCATGCATGCATGTAATGTAATGTACTGCAATGTATTGTAATGTGATGTATTGTATTGTTATGTAATGTATGTATGTATGAAGAGGACGTCCAAAAAACAGAGTTTTTCCAGATTTTCGGCAAAAGGATGAACGAGCCTGGGTCCCCCTGTTTTGCGACACCGGCTCCCCGAAGACTACGTTTAGTGGAACGTCAACAAATTGCCGCGCGGTACGTGGGGCGGGGGGGAGGGGGGGGGGCCGGGGGTGGGGGGGGGGAACCCTGCGTAATTGACGTGTTATGGGGGGGACTAAGGGGGGTGTTATCCTCTATCCTCTCTTAGGTATCCGACACGCCGAACAATGTCGGCGGATTTTCGTGTGACTGCTAACTTTGCAAATGCCCCAGCCCAGGACGTTTTGGGTCAGCGTATGCTGAAGTGGTTGAAAGGCTGGAGACCGGGCCTATGTTCCTGGCTCTGCCCGTCACTGCGCGACATACAGGAGGCTGTAGACCGCACAAATGCACGGCTGGACTCCTTGCGCTTTGCCGGCTTCGTGATGCGCCAGATCTCGCGCATGCGCGACCTGAGCGTCGCCTCCAGGAAGATCAGCAACGCGATTGTTGGATATGCTGGCCCAGGCGCCTTCGAGGCCAGCAACGGACCTTGCCCGGGAGATGTTTTAAGTTGTTAAACCACTGCTTGAGTTGCTCAGGCTGCGCTGCTTGCAGTTGCCCACAGGTGATTATTCCTAGCTCCTCTAGTGCCCACTTCAGCCTGTCAGTCCCGGTCAACACTTTGCGCAGCGCAACCTGCTCCTTGGAGTTTGACGTGGACGCACAGTGCCTCCGCATCATGAGACCTGTCCGTATTGCAGAGATTTGTCCGAGTTGGAGTGAAAATTGGCTGTGTCACTGTTCAAGCCAACTCTTTGGATTGAGGAACGTGGATCCCTGGCGACGCTGCAGTTACAGCTGGGTGGTGAAGCCTTGGGTCACGCAGGTGGAGTGCGTCATCTCTCGCAACTTTGCGCAGCCCATCAAGCACCACGCCTCAGCCAATGCCATGATCATCTCAGAGATCACCTTCAACAGCTCCGCAGGAGAGAGCATTTCATGGCAGGTTCTGACAGTTTGGAAGTTTGGCGGGGTTTTGAGTTGGCACTGCGCAAGGCTTGAAGCCCAGTTGAGAGAGTCAGGGGTATGAGGTGAGTCATTGGGAGAGTCTGACTCACGGTGCAAGGGCCTGTCTCCCTCAGCGTCGGGCATCGCATGTACCCGGAGGTTTTCTCCGAGTTCCCCGACCTGGGACATGTGCATCTTATGGCCGGCAGCCTAGTGACTCGAGTGACTCCTATGTTTGACATGTTTGACTTGGCAACTTGTGGCTGGTGACAAGCGCGCCGGCGTGAGGAGAAAGATCTCGATGCCTATGCCCAGACCTGGCACAAGATCTGGCGCTGCAGGACCCATGCGGCAGCTTCAGAAGCTGCCGCATACACCGAGCCGCTCGTTTGCAGCATGTGACTCTCGCGTGACACTGCGTGGTGGCGTCTCAGGTGGATGCATCCTGGGAGATTGCACATGGAAGACGGAAAAGTGTCTTGCGCCTTAGTTGCACTTCTGACTCCAGCCCTCTGGATTAAAAGCAATGCATGCTGGCGCTCCGTCAAAGGTTGTGTGGTTCTGCATGGGACTGATGAGCACCCACGCCCACAACCAGGAGAGCATGCTGAGTATGCGTGTGAAGGGATCGGGAGGCAGCGTGTTGGTACGACTTCTAGGAGACTTAGCCATCCTGCGGTGCTCGCCCGCTGAAGCTGCACGTGAGGCGGGCTCGTGCAAAAGTCAGGTCCGTGGTTTGGCGCAGTTTCCCAGGTGCTTCTGTATGGAGAAGTGCTAGACTGCAAGCCGTCCAAGAGCCAATGGAAGATCAAAGCATGCAGAACGCCCAATTGCAGCAGGGCGAATTGCGGCTTCCTCCACCCGGGCGAGGAGGCAGAGGGTGCGCTCTTTCAGTTGGAGGTTGGCCTCTCCGAGGTAAGCCGCCATGCTCAGAAAGAGCAGAAGCGCTTTCTGGAAGCGGCGGATGCAACTGCGTTCAAGCTTCTATGCTGGTTTTATTTTTTGCTGGGCTTAAAATCACACCGCTCAGCCACTCAGCATGCTAGGCTCCAGCTCGTTGGCGTGCCAGTGGTCGACCGACAGAATCTGAAGCTTGTGGAGGAGCTGCCGAACAAGCTGCGGACGCGTAAGGGCCGAGAGTCACCCATCGCAGCCCACTTGTGCCTACGGCTGCAGCAGCGCAAAGGTCAAATCTTCAGGTTCCGTCTCAAATATATTCGAAGATCTGTGTTTTTTGTTAAGGACTGAACATTAAAAACATATTTGGTGTTACGGCGCTGTGGTCGCGGAAGTCCGCAGAAGCGCGAGCGGAAGTTTCACGGAAGGGATATATGTATTAAAGGGATGAAGCCGTACTCGCGCACTACGCGCGTACTGAAATTCAAATGTGCGATGCGTGAGCTGGGGCCGCTTGCGTACTCAGCTGAATTGCCTGCGCGCGCGAACAAGAAGCATGAGCAGTAGGAGCGGAGCTTGGGAGGGGAGGCAGTTGATGCAGACAAGCGCGCGCAAGCGACATGTCACGCTGAAAGAAGAGACAGGTGGGCCAACGGCGGCACGATCGAAAAGCACGAATTCCCAGACCGCCGCAAAATTATTTGTTTGCGCGCCGAATGTCGCGCCAGAACAGATTCCTGCATCGGAAAACAGAAGGGCCGCCGAATTTGATGCCAGAACATGTTCGACTTCCACCCTGTCGTGCATCTTCCGCAACGCAAGTAAAACCACACTTTCTGTCATGCGCCAAAGCATACTGAAATATAAGCGTGTTAGCCAAGAGGAACAGAACTGGAGCAGGAAGCCAGAATAGGAATGGAATAGGGACGGGAAGAGGAGCAGGCGACAGCTGCAATTCCAGGGCTGTCGTTTTGGTATCGTTTGGGTATCGTTTTCAGCGCACACAGGAACTTACCATGTCCAACCTGAACTGCCAAAGCGTACCGCGCGTACTGCTCTTGCACTGAGCTGACAACGATACTCCAAACGATGCCCGTGTTGGGCAACCCTCAGATAATTCGAATGAGGGTTGATTCGGGGCTTTCTTTTGCCATGCAAGCGTGTGGTCCTGTGCGGCGAGCGCTGTCCATGGAAAGACACAGCGTCAAAATTGCACCAGACAAAGAATATCAAGTCATGCAAGTCTCGAGCGAAGAGGCGGGCTTTTGGTAGCCCGCGGCGTGCTACTTCCAAGGACTAGCTTGCAGGCGCCCACTGTGGAGCAAGAACAGCGGGAGATGCGACCACTTGCCACCTTCCAACAGGTTGAAAGATCTGTTCGGGAAGGAGCTTATGCAGTGACCAAGCAGACATTACGTGCTTCCATGAAGTGACTTGCAGTCGACCAGGATGGCGACCGGAATCGTTTTTTGTGAACGAGGGCATGTACAACCATGGTTGCCATGTATGATAATACCAGTAATTATAGAGTGATTCTAATCATGATGTCGCCTATGTATCTTAGAGCTGAAATCGGCCAAAAAGAGCCTCAGTCTAACGCATATGGTGCGACAGTGGCCGTTTGAATCAAGCAGGCGCCCGCTCTAGGTGAGAGGCTCTGGGCTGAATGACATGCAGCTTTCTGCAGTGATGCGCGGCCTCCAGCACCGCTTTTCCGTAGTTCAAGGGCCGCCAGGCGTGGAGAAGCGTGGAAAAGGCCAAACGTGGGCGCAACTGATCAGGAAGCCACAAGTGCCATTTGCAAAAACTTCCAATGAAAGCAACGGATTCGATGTGTGTTACAACTTCGAGAAAGCAGAGTCCGACTTGAGATCCCTGAAAGGAACATCCCCAGCCCCTTAGGGTCCGAAAATGGGCGGGGAATCTCAAAATGCAATTTGCATGTTCCTCTGAGCAACAAGAGCACACGCAGGCCCTGTGGATCTATTTCCAAGCAAAGAGAAAGGTCGAATCTCTATGGAGAACGACCAATCAGTGGACTTCTGTTTCCTCTGTTTTAAGTTGTAAGTATATGCTTCGTATTTGCCACGACGCAATGCCAGCTCAACGATTCAATAGTGTCTCTTTTTGAAACCAATCCTTTGGGTAAAGTTAGTTGCCTACAGGTCGCAGCGAATGGCTGCGACAACAAACGCATGGCCACAATAGCATGTTGATATGAATGAGACGCTGGAAGTCAACAAAGTTTTTGTTTTGGTTTGTTCTGCTTTTCGCCGGAACTGAACCATTGACTTCCATGCGATCTCATTGCGATGCCATCTTTGGCTCTAGCCTTTCTTTCATTTGCGACTCATTGCTGTAATCAGCCCACTCCTGCTCACGCCACGAGTAATCTGCCACTTGTTTTCCTTCTTGTTTTCCCTAGTGCACCTTTGCAGTCTTCGGATCTTTCTTGATCTTCTTGATGCTGACCACGAGTGGTAGGAACCTGTTTGTGTCCATCTTTACGTTCATGTGCATATCGTTAGTCAAGTGCTTGGTACGTTTGATGGTTGCAGACACCCTGTAGTTGCCGAGAATCTTCGTCTCATCGTCGAGATATTCATGTTGCTCTTCGGTATGTGTGGCTTCTTTGGCTTGGTGACAAAGGCAACCCCCTGAAATGGTGTCCTTGTGGTTTGTAGTCTGAGCCCAACACAAGCCTGGTTTCGATCTCACCGGCGCGATCTCATGGCGCTTACGTAGTATATTGATCTGAGCTTTTGGTGATAGTGCTCCCGAGTCCTCATGAAAATCCTGATTGTTGCAACACAATCAGGTCTCGGCTTCGTGCACTCAAACTCGTCTTCCCCCAAAATAGCATCTGAAAATGCCCATGGTTGTAGCCCAGTGTGAGAATCTCTCGGTGAAATGTCTCGTCAACAATTTCACTCGGCATCTTCGCAAAGCATGCAACTGCTCTTGAGTTTCTCTGCTTGACCATGATCCCATGTAATTGGCTCGGACTAAGCTTGGAGTGATCTGATCAATCGGTTCGAGCTTGCCGTTTGTGAAAGTCTTGAAGAAGTAATTTGTTTCATGGAGACACAGAATGTGGGCTGAGTTGCGCGATAGATTCTGCACACGGGCTCAATCTGGCATCGCTTGAAGGGCCTAATTTCCTGTCTTTGACACTTGCATCCTGTGCTTGGCGGATGTCTCCAATACAGGGTGGCCACGGTTAGGCTCGGTTCGGTTCGGTTTCTGAAACCTTTTGAAAACCTTTCTCCGGTTAGTGGCGGTTACTCATAACCTTTCAAAACCTGCCGGTTTGCACGGTTAATGCAGAAAAGTAAGATAAGGCTCTAGGTAACTCAGTCTGCTTTCGCCCACACTTCGCCAACTTCCACATCTCTGGCATCGCCATCCATCTGACATCGCCATCCCACACCACACACACACACACACAGACACAACCACACACACACACAAACACACAAGCAAACAAACAAACAAACAAACAAGCAAACTCACAAACACAAAAACAAACAAACGAACCATGCCACTGACTGATGCTGAGCATGTTTTTCCGCGCACGTGGCCTTGAAAGCATCTCTGCAGTCAAAGCTCAAAAGCGCAAAAAAAAAAACAAGTCACTGACCGCTCATGGGTCACTTTTTTTGCTTGCCAAATTTCAGCGGTGTTTCGTGTGTTGCGCAAAAATCAGAACCAGAAGCGGCCAATAATGCGGGTTTGTTGCCTTGACGCGTGCAGCAAAGGGGCCTCAGCTGCAGTGGCCTGCTAAGCGTGCCAAAAGTTCTGGCAATCAGGCTGGTGGGGCGTTGGGGAACGGCAGGGCAGGCCCAGGGCAAGGCGGGAAGGCGCCAGGAGAGCAAGCCCTTACAGTGACAGCGGGCCGCGAGAAACTGTTCCAATCCAAGCCGGGCCGCGCAAAAAAAACAACAACCCACTGACCGTCAGTAAGTTGTTTTTTTTCGCGCTGCTGGCGCAGCCAGGCTGCAACAGGGTGCTCGGGCAATCCCGTGGGAGCAGGGGGAGTTGGTGAGACAAGTAGAGGCTCGGACATGTAACTATTCTAGCAGTTCAGCAAAGTTTGCGGGTTCAATTCCCCGCTTTGGAACGGGATCCCGTGGCGGTGCTGTTGGCGATGCTCTCTGCGCCAAAGCCGAGCAGCCCAAAAAAACAAGTCACTGACCGCTCATGGGTCACTTTTTTGCTTGCCAAATTCCAGCGGTGTTTCGTGTGTTGCGAGCACTGCGGAAGCAAAAATCAGAACCAGAAGTGACGCGTGCAGCAAAGGGGCCTCAGCTACAGTGGCCTGCTAAGCGTGCCAAAAGTTCTGGCAATCAGGCTGGTGGGGCGTTGGGGAACGGCAGGGCAGGCCCAGGGCAAGGCGGGAAGGCGCCGGGAGAGCAAGCCCTTACAGTGACAGCGGGCAACTCAGTTTTCCTCCCGTTCGGCCCGCGAGAAACTGTTCCAATCCAAGCCGGGCCGCGCAAAAAAAACAACAACCCACTGACCGTCAGTAAGTTGTTTTTTTTCGCGCTGCTGGCGCAGCCAGGCTGCAACAGGGTGCTCGGGCAATCCCGCGGGAGCAGGGGGAGTTGGTGAGACAGGTATGCTCGGACGTGTAGCTATCCCGGCACTTCAATCAAAGTTTGCCGGCTCAAATACCGCTTGCTGCCGCTTTGGAACGGGATCCCGTGGCGGTGCTGTTGGCGATGCTGTCTGTGCCAAAGCCGAGCAGCCCAAAAAAACAAGTCACTGACCGCTTGTGGGCCGTTTTTTTTTGCTTGCCTAATTTTAGCGGTGTTTCGTTGCGAGCACTGCGGATGCAAAACATCAGAACCAGAAGCGGCCAATAATGCGGGTTTGTTGCTTTGACGCTTACTGCCCCTGCAAACCTGGGGACGGTTCGGTTTCTGTTCGGTTCGGTTCGGTTCGGTTTGTGGTTTGTTTCCGGTTTTCTTGCGGTTTTGAAAACCGGTCCGGTTAACCGGTTTCCGGTTCGGTTTTCAACCTTCCTGCCAATAGCAAGTTGCAAATGTTGACACATGGCATGGTCATGTGGATGTCGTCATGCTGGGTCAATTCTTTGATAGCCAGTGGAAGCTTGAAAGCGGAGTCGATCTCGTTTGCTGTAAGTCGGTCCTTGGGTGACTTCGTGCGCATGTTCTGTTGTTTGTTGCGCTCAGCCTCATAGCCCTTCTTGGATCAGTTGATGCTGCACGGTGTCCGAATGATCATCGCAATGATGATTGTCATGTCGTTATTTGGACCTTGTCTTGAATTGGTTCTGATAAGAAATGTATCGCGCAGAGGATAGTGCTGAGTGGTAGCCCTGGCGAGGGTCTTCCCCGGCGGAGTGTTGTCTTTTCGGGTCTTTGCTCGGTTTAGGATGGCGTCAGCCAGCTTCTTGATCCTGTTGACCTCCTTCTGGCTGAAGTAGTCCTTGGTGAACCTGTCGAGACGTTGTACTGAACCAGCAATTTTGGTCATCGTACAGGCAGGGTGGTTCAAGGTCGTCGATGCAGATGCAGTTCTGCGGTCTTCCTTTGACAAGTCGTCCTGGCTTGAGAGATCCGGATGCAAGAATCTTGTGCCCAGATCGCGTGAGCCATGAAGGAAATATGCTGAATATGCTGTAGTCGGCTGAATGGCTTGAATGGCGCATCATTTGTGTCCTTTTGTCCAGGCAGTGGCGGCTAGGAGACTCTGTATTTACCCTTTGTGGAGGTCTCCTTCTTGGTGACTCTTTGTTAATGTCCATGTTCTTCTATGTGGGAGACTGACATCCGTCATGACATCTTTGTTTGGTCTTCTTGGCATCCTTCCAGTTTCGCCAATCGCCAGGCAGATTCCCAATGGACTGCCCAAAATGCTCGCTGTTGATCTTGAGTGTCCTGCCACGCATCTACGTAGACTTCCATCTCTTGATTGGCGTAGTGGCGATCATCAGGCGTGAGAGCTGCACTCTTGGAATCTGAATAGTGTAGCGGCACATTGGTAATCCATCAGTGTGTTGGCACCGTCCTATCTTCATCTTCCGTTCCATCAAATCTGGGGAACACATGCTCGCATCTTGGTTGGGTGTGCTTGGAAAGATTGCCATTGGTGAGAAGCTGATTGAGAGAGCTCGCTGCGTGATCCGTCACTCGGTTGATCTTGGCAGAGAAATCAAAATCAAGCTTCTCGGGCGAAGCTATGGGCCAGACGTTTGCGTCGAATCTCTGAGGCGGATCTTGCACGCTGCAGCACCTGGAACACAGTCTCTCGACATACTGCAAATGTGATTTGCGCTGTGATTCATACTTTCCACGATCTTCCACCAGTGTGGGCCTCCAGTGCTCGTCAGCTTGTTGTTTGACTTTGGTCTGCTTTGGCACGAAGATAAACAAGGGGTGTGACTCCGTAATGAACTGACACTCTTGGAAATACTGTACAGAAGGGTGAGCGCAGAACATCTCACGCTCCAGAAGCTCTGCATTGATCGTCAATCGACAGAAAGCTGGTTCATCAGGATAGTGAGTCCGCGGGGACTCGGATGACCGATCATTCTTGTCGAAAAGCTCCTTTTTTGGACACAGGACTTCTTTGGTTTACGACATTGTCCTCCTGTGGTGGTTCTGGATCATCCTCAGACTTGACTGAATTGGTCATCTTCACACCCTTGGCGTTAACTCTTGTCTCGATCTCCTCCGTGGTTTCCGCTCGGAAAGGCGAGGGGAAGTGCAA